TTTAATATATCCATGGAGTGTTATTTAATGTATTATGTGGTGATGGTATTATAAACAAAAATAAAGCAGGGATGAGATACTATTTTATAGAGTGCTCAAGGAAGGACTTTCAAATGACATTTAAGGAGATTTAAGCAGTGAACTGAAGCAAGGAAGAGAAAATCATGATGATTTCCTTCTTATATGAAAAATAGTTACATATATTTATGCATGTACTTGTGCATGTGTATACACACTTGTGCACATGCATAGCTTGCATGTGGAAATCATAGGACAACTTGTGGGAATGCTTCTCATCTTCCATCATGTGGGTCTCAGGAATTGAACTCAGGCTGTTAGGCAAGCACTTTTACCTAGGGAGCCATCATGCTGGCTCAAGCCATTAGAATTTCTGAGACCAAAAGAAACAAGGCTTAGGCCTGGAAGCAGTAGTATGCCTCATCTGTTTGATGCAAGGCCAAGCTGATAGGTAGAGAAGTCTAAGCAACAATGAGAGATTTGGTAGTGCCTGAAAGGCCAGAATAAGGACCTGAGTCTAGAGTAGGAGTGACATAAACAACCTATGGTCACTTAACACATAATTTGAACCCAAACAACTTCAAAGGATGACATCAACTCTAGGATACTATTATTTTAAAATTTATTTAATGTGTGCTTTTGTGTTTTATGTTTTTTATGTGTTTTGCCTGCATGTATATCTGTGCAGTTGTTGCCTACTGAGGTCAGAGAGGGTGTCAGATTCCCCTGGATGGTTGTGAGCTGCCATGTGGGTCCTGGAAATTGAACCCAGATCCTTGGAAGAGATTCCAGTGTTTTAACTGCTGAACCATTTTCTCTTCAGCCTGTAAATATAGGGTATTATTGACTGTGAGACATACCAGCATTTTATGCACCCACAACAAAGAAACCAAAATGCTGCTGAACATGTTCATAAAGTACCATTCAAAGATTCCCGCAATATTTGAATTGCTATGTGCCTCTTAGGGTTGATAAATTACAGTACTTTTCTTCATGAAAGAATACACCTAGAAGTGGTCAGATTTTTAGTCTTTCTATTGTGATTGCCTATAAGATGGTTTCTACTATAGTCACTAACTTCTCATTTCCAGGAGGAAGAAAGGAGAAGGGGGAAGATGCTTTTTAGTCTTCCATATTAATTTAAAGATTGTCTTATGAAGTCTCTCATAAAAAACTCATTGTAATTTTATTGGGATTTCATTGGATGTGTACAACAAATTTAGAGAAAACCTGCATAGGCATGGTCTCATTTACATTTCATAAAAGGATATATATATATATATATTTATAATGTTTATATTTGCATAGAAATTTCTCATAAATTTCAGGGAAATGGAATTGAGTATGAATGGTGAGGGAGATTTTCATTTTTCACGCTGAGCCTCTCTTCTATACATTTCTAAGAAACCCACAAATATATATATATATATATATATTAACATTTACAGACATACACACATACATGTAACTTTTGTTATAAGAAATATAAATCAGTGACTTTCAAAATGGAGTGTGTTTGCCCAGGAGTATGGGAAACTTAAGAGAATCAATTTTTTCATCCTCCAATTTCATATGTAGTGTTTTCAGATTTATCTGTCAGAGAACATAGTTGTGATAGAGGAATCAAGCTGGTTCTCTTTTCCCCATCTCCAGTTTCACATGTTTCTTTTTGCACTTAGAAAAGAAAATCATCTTTTATCATCCTGAGTCTCACCCACATGCACTACCCTGCAGTGTGAAATCCTCAGGGTGCCAGAGAGACAATTCCAAACACCACATCTACAGCGAAAAAACAAATTGCTCTAGCAGTGCATGGGAATCGAATCTTTTCGAACCTCAGATGGTTCCTAATTGTTTGCTTCCAATAAAATTGAAGGAAATCCCAAATGGAGCCATCAGCTGATAAATCACAAGAAGGCATTTTGGAGCTAAACCATTGTGTGATATTTCCAGAAGGATGCAAAGCTTGAATGATGTTTCTAAAATAAAATGCCTCTCCCCATTTAGTATATGAGAGGTTTTTCTGTGTTAACATTTAGCCAAACACAGACTAGCAATATTAGTCCATGGGAACAACCTCTAGCAAGTTGCTCTATGTGGAAAAATACATGTTCTTGGCTCAAAAATTTGTTGGAAGAATACAATAGACTTAAGAACTCTGGGAGGAAAGGGAGAAGATACAACTGGCAGCTGTCAAAGAAATCTATTGTGAATTTTTAAGGAGAAGATAGTGAGCTCTCAGCTCACTAATGTATTTAGGTTTCATCAGATTTGTGTAATGTACTGACGTAACAGCTTTATTTCTGAAGATTAACACTTGTCAGAAATTACATTTTTGCAGCCAAGTGACATTTACGATGCAAAATTTTAGATGTCAACCAAAAACTGTGTGAAAGAGACCACGTTTTTTTCAAAATATTTTTAGGGAGCATTTTGCTATAAACCAAATTTTACATAAACATAGAAAAATTACTAGGAATTGTCATTTACTCTTTTGCCACCTTGTGGTCAGAACAGTATTTGACTCCTAGGCGCGTGAACAGTGAGGTAGAGCTATCTTTCTTGAGGTCTTCTGTCACTGTTTCCAAGGTCTTTGTGAGGCCAAGATGGTGACATTTGTCCATGTCTCACTCAAGATTATACAAGCTCTACACATCTAAAGATTATGGTGGCTCCCACCACTAATGTTTAAAGCAAAAGCATAAAACGAGGAAATAAATGTAAGAAAGTAACAAGTATGTTGTACACTTTCTAATAGGGGAGCCCCCCCCCCCTTTTTAAATAAAAAGTACTCAGCTAGTTTTTGGTATACTTATTATTTATTTAATGATTCCTATTTGTTGCTTCTTTCCTGCTAGTTGTCCTAAAGACACTTCCTTGCATGTGTATCCCTTTTAGGGAAGCCCAATCTGATTCTAATCTCAGGGTGTCTTTTAGTGCTTTTAGTACAATGGCTGGCTGTGAACAGGTATTGAATCTGTGGGGTGAATGGTGGCAGAGCCATCCACTTTCAGAACTTGCTGGTCTGGGTGGTGTCCAGGTGCCTCTGTATGCTTTACAGGAAGTCGATTAGTTAGGCAATCAGGTTACATACCTATTATTCAGTGGCAACGCTGCTAAATATGGGGGATCTTCGGGTTTCTTTGTTAGTTTGAGCCTGTGAAAATAAGATGAAGGTACTCCTTGCCCTCTGCTCCCATGTTGCATGAGCTCAGTCACGTTAGCAGCAGCAGTAGCCCAGCAGCAACATTCCTTTAGTAGCCATACTCGTTGCATTTTCTCTAGTTGCAGGCAACAAAGGGCAGGCATTTGTTGGAAGAATGAGTCAAGGAACTGAAAACACAGCTGATTTAGGAAAGGCTGGCACTAAGGTAGCCTTAGGCTAAATAGAAAGCAGACAGCCTAAGGGCTCCGGATTCCTGGTGAATCCCCGAGGAGTCTGTCTTTGCTTCCTCTATGAAGTGACTCAGGTAGAGGTCCATTTCCAGGGGAGACCAGAGACATTTTGCTCTGCTTTGCAGGCAGGCACGGCCCCTAAAGTAGGGCAATGTGCACCAGGAACAGCCTGCTGCCACACTGAGGTACCCCACTTTTCTTTGATCACTCTCTCCCTTTGACCCCACATGCTGATACCTGCCTTTGCCTGCACCCTCTGGAAACAGCAGTCACAGTTGCTTCTGACACCCCCAGCTTTTCCCAAGACCGGAGCTTCTTGTTCTGGACACACATTTTTTTTCCTGGGCTCCCAGATGTAGCAGCCCCCACCCGAGACTGGTGTCCAACCTCTTTCTTCACTGGCAGCTGCTATCCCTTCTATTTCTACCTGCTGCTCACCCCAGACTCTGCTAAACCTTAAGGATCTCTCAGACTTTGTAGTTTGGGTTTCTTTCAGCCTAGGGGAGGTGCCACCTGTAGGCCTTGTAGTGTCTCATTTCCCCTGCTGGCCTTGCAGGAATGGTTTCTGCCCACAGGATGCTCACTAAGGCCTGTGCTTGGAGGTCGGCTGTCAATCATCCCGCCCAGGGCCTTGCAGAGGAGGGGGCGAGAAGCAGTCCAGGAAGTTTAGAGCACTGCTATGACAATCAAGGGAACATGCCGCTTCAGGTGGAGTGGCCTTGGGAGCACTGATGTCCCTCTAGATCTGGGGTTCAGGCTTGTCCCTCAGATGGAGGCTTGTTAGTTCTGGGAAAGCAGGATCTGGACTGGGACGAGCTTTGGGCAGGTTCAGCTGCTGGAATGATAGATGTCAGAGCTTCTGCCTTTAATCTGCACTACCACCCTGTAAAGGGATATTTCACAGCCCCAGGAACATTTCTGGACAAGACAACGATACGGCCCCGGGCCCCACACGCTAGGAAAGCCTGAACCCTTGAGGGCAGTACGAGAGGGGAGGAGACGGCCAAGGGGGTCAGAGCAGCGATTGGAGCTGAGAGCTGGAAGCGCCTTAAAGAGACTGCGCGGTCCCCGCCCCACTTCCCGCCAGCCTCAATGAATTAGAGCTGTGTTTCCCAAACTTGCCTGATCACTAGCAGCCTCTCCGGCCCCAGTTAGAGATCGAGGTTCCGGAGTACCTCTCTTCCAGAGTCGGATTCAGTAGGCCTGCGGGTGGAGCTGAGGAATCTGTAAATTTAACACGCTCCCACGTGATTGTCGTGAACAAGCAAGTTTGGGAAATATTGAATTAAAGGAAACGGGGCCTGGCTGCAGAAGCGGCCTCCACTAGGGGGCTTTGGCTGGAGCATTCCCGGGGGCGTCGCCTGCTTCCGCTGCTGCCTTCTTCAGTGAAAGTGCCTTTCGGGTCCAGCTGCCACAGCCACCGCGCTCCCTCAGGCCGGACCGGGGACACCCCAGGTCTGCGTGGCCCCCGTGCCACCACGCCCAGTGGCCGCCGGAGCCCCGCGAGCAGGGGGAGGAGCCGCAACCAGTGGAGGCGGAGGAGGCTGGAGGAGGCGGAGACGGCGGAGACGGCGGAGAAGGCTTAGAGGAAGGTGGAGGCGGAGAAGGTGGAGGGGAAGGTGGAGGCGGCTGGGAAGGTGGACGCCACCGAGAAGGTGGAGTCGGCTGGGAAGGTGGACGCCACCGAGAAGGTGGAGACCGCGGAGGATCCGGGCCGCGGGGCTGAGCTCAAGCTGGAGCCGGAGCCAGAGCCCAAGCCGAAGCCCGAGCCGGATCCCGAGCCGGAGCCCGAGCCAGAGCCCGAGCCCGAGCCTGAGCAGGAGCCCGAGCCCGAGCCCGAACCAGAGCCGGAGCCGGAGCTGAAGCCAAAGCCCGAGCCGGAGCTGAAGCCGAAGCCCGAGCCCGAGCCAGAGCCAGAGCCCTTACAGGAGGCAGAGCAGGAGCCTAAGCGGGAGCCGGAGCAGGAGCTGAAGGATGAGAACCCAGCGCGGAGCGGCGACGAGGTTCCTCCCCCCACCCTTCCCTCCGATCCGCCGCGGGCCCCTGATCCCTCTCAGCGTCGCAGCCGGGCCCCGCGCCGCCGACCCCGGCCCCGGCCCCAGACTAGGCTCCGTACCCCGCCGCAGCCTAGGCCCCGGCCCCCGCCCCGGCCCCGGCCCCGACGCGGTCCTGGGGGCGGGTGCCTGGATGTGGATTTTGCTGTGGGGCCGCCAGGTTGTTCCCACGTGAACAGTTTTAAGGTGGGAGAGAACTGGAGGCAGGAATTGCGGGTTATCTACCAGTGCTTCGTGTGGTGTGGAACCCCAGAGACCAGGAAAAGCAAGGCAAAGTCGTGCATCTGCCATGTGTGTGGCACCCATTTAAACAGACTCCACTCTTGCCTTTCCTGCGTCTTCTTTGGCTGCTTCACAGAGAAACACATCCATGAACACGCTGAGACAAAACAGCACAACTTAGCGGTAGATCTTTATTATGGAGGTATATACTGCTTCATGTGTAAAGACTATGTGTATGACAAAGACATTGAGCAAATTGCCAAAGAAGAGCAAGGAGAAGCCTTGAAATTACAAACCTCCACCTCAACTGAGGTTTCTCAGCAGCAGTGTTCAGTGCTGGGTCTTGGGGAGAAATATCCCACCTGGGAAACGACCAAACCTGAGTTGGAATTGCTGGGGCACAACCCACGGAGAAGAAGAATCGCGTCCAGCTTTACCATCGGCTTACGAGGACTAATTAATCTTGGCAACACGTGTTTTATGAACTGCATTGTCCAGGCCCTGACCCACACTCCAATACTGAGAGATTTCTTTCTCTCTGATAGGCACCGGTGTGAAATGCCCAGCCCTGAGTTATGTCTGGTCTGTGAGATGTCTTCGCTCTTTCGGGAGCTATATTCTGGAAACCCATCTCCTCATGTTCCCTATAAGTTACTGCACCTGGTGTGGATACACGCTCGTCACTTAGCAGGGTACAGGCAACAGGATGCCCACGAGTTCCTCATTGCTGCCCTAGATGTCCTGCATAGGCACTGCAAAGGTGATGATGTTGGCAAGGTGGCCAGCAATCCTAACCACTGTAACTGCATCATAGACCAAATCTTCACAGGTGGCCTGCAGTCAGATGTCACCTGTCAAGCCTGCCATGGTGTCTCTACCACTATAGACCCATGCTGGGACATCAGTCTGGACTTGCCTGGCTCTTGCACATCCTTCTGGCCTATGAGTCCAGGGAGGGAGAGCAGTGTGAATGGGGAAAGCCACATACCAGGCATTACTACCCTCACAGACTGCTTGCGAAGGTTTACAAGGCCAGAGCACTTAGGAAGCAGTGCCAAAATCAAATGTGGTAGTTGCCAAAGCTACCAAGAATCTACCAAACAGCTCACTATGAAGAAGTTACCAGTTGTTGCCTGCTTTCATTTTAAACGGTTTGAACACTCAGCCAAACAGAGGCGTAAGATCACTACATACATTTCCTTCCCCCTGGAGCTGGATATGACACCCTTTATGGCGTCAAGTAAAGAGACCCGAATGAATGGACAGTTGCAGCTGCCAAGCAATAGTGGGAACAACGAGAATAAGTATTCTTTGTTTGCAGTGGTTAATCACCAAGGAACTTTGGAGAGTGGCCACTACACCAGCTTCATTCGGCACCACAGGGACCAGTGGTTCAAGTGTGATGATGCCGTCATCACCAAGGCCAGTATTAAAGATGTGCTGGACAGTGAAGGATATTTACTGTTCTATCACAAACAGGTCCTGGAACATGAGTCAGAAAAGGTGAAAGAAATGAATACACAAGCCTACTGAAGCAACACACAGGCCTACCTGTAATGGAAGATGATGACACTCGTACTACAACGGGCATCGAGATTTAATTGATCTTCTTGACTAAGGCCGATGGGCCTGACAGAGTAAGAATTTAACAGTACCCAGTGTCCAAAAGGTCCTGATTGGAAGAGAAATAAGAGGGGAGGGCAAAGAGGCTCTAGTCTAAGCAGTCATGTGAAAGAAATTAAATGACAGGAATGTTTTGGGTGGGGAAGGCAGAGCAGGGAAATTGTGACACTGGTTCATCTCCTATATTCCTCCAAAAGATTGTGTGGGAAGGTGTAGGGGGGAGGGGGGTGGTGTTGGGGGGGTTGTGTGCCCTTGTAACCGTAAAACATCTTTCTTCATGGGTGTTTCAGCTTCAATTGACCAATCATGTAACAGTTACACGTTTGTGGGAGGAAAAGGAAAAGTGAATTAAAATGTAGCCCATTGTGTACATGGGGTGAAAGCAGAACAGTGGAGGGGGCAGGGTTAGCTCATTGACAAGTACCTTTGCCAGTTTCTTTGTACTCGTGATTTTTGTGCTATTAAATGCAGTATTAAAAAAAAAAAAAGATAGCCCACATGGGCTAGTGAAAGGAGAAGAAATAAGGGGCTTGTGGAAGGGGAGCAGGTGCTCCAAAAGTAGAGAAGGCTAGAAATGCTGTAAGATAAGCAGTTAACAAGGACAGGCCTCAGCTGACAGTGTAGTGTGTGTTTTATTTTAAAAAGCTGTATGATATCCTTGAGCAAATCAGTGAACCTCTTTGCGATTGTTTTCTCATCTGTAACATGCAGGTAATTCCTACTTTAAAGGGTTGTTGTTAAAGATTAAATGATATAAAATGTGTCAAAGTCAAAGTAAAAGGCTTGGAACATTGTAGGGACTCAGTAAACATTTGTTGGATCTGAATCTGTTGCTTATTTGAACTGGGCCAGAATGCATCAGAGGTGAATGCCAATTCCACCTTATACCCATGAAGGGAAATGACATACCATGTCATATGCAATCATACACACAGACCATCTTAACTCTTTCTCCAAGGCATCTGACTCCATGTTGTGTATAGGGTATCATATTCAGTGTCGCACCTCAGATTGATGGTTGGGGGAAAACACAACTATCACACATTTTGTCCGTTTGAAAGACAGCAACATTATTTTAATGACTCAACAATTCAGTGGTGGGATTCTGGTGACAGTATGCTACCTGGCATCAACACAATGGTTTTTGGTGTTTTTTTTTTTTTTTTTCCCTGCTTCAGAAAGCATTGAGTATAACTTCGGTGTTTATCAACAGAGATCAGAAGAAAGACTTCTAAAACTCACTGATCCATCAGCTTAGAGATGCTGGTAGAATGGTTTGCTACACTGGTCAGAGCAACCTGTAGTTAAGCTGAGACAGATGGGAAGACTTGTAATGGAGAAAACACTGTGCATCCCTTTTTCAGCACTGGTTACAAAAAGTAACTGTTACCTGGAAAATCCTTGGAGGCAACACAGGTGCATGGGCATTGGATCCAGTATCTCTGATAAAAGGCAGGGTTCCCTACAGCTTCCCAGTTCTACTTAGTGACCAACTCATTCAGAAATAGAGACTTGTGGTTGTGGGTATATGTCAGAGTTTTTGTTTATTTTGATGCCAGCAATTAAACCCAGGGCCTTATGTACACTGGCATTCTGCCACTGAACTACATCCCCTAGTCCCTCTGTGAGAGCTTTTAAAGACAGGAGCTCTATTTTCTTTTGGATCCTGGGTTCCATCTTTAGCCCTGGCACAGTTACTGGCACATAATAAGGAGACACTTAAAATATTTACTGAGTGGATGCATGGATGTGTGCATGTATGGATGAAACAAGCATACTCCTTCCTTTACCCAAATGTCTTCAGCACCACAATCCCCAGAAGAAAATGGTTTTGCTGTTCCGTTGGGTGTTTTGGAGGATGGGGAGATAAGTATGGAGCTCCGGGTGCCACTTCGTAAGTTATTTGGTTACTTTTGGGCATGGGATTGGTAACCCTGTTTAAGAAGACATGGCCATGTCCCCATCCCTCAGGTCTGCCATGGGAAAATTCAGTGACGTGTGCCAGCAGAGTTTGACTGTGTGCACAGAAATTGTCCTTTATCATTTCCAATGGTTTATTTGGAAACAAATTCAAACTCCAAGAAAAGGTTAAAAATAACAAAAACATTCTTTTTCCCTCTACCCATATTTACATATTAACATGTTGCTCCATTTGCTTTATCATCCCATATGTGCACACCCATGTTTGTGTGTGTGTACATGTGTACATGAACTCTGGATAAAGTACATACATACATGAAATATTTCAATGGGCATTTCCTAAGAATAGACATGCTACGGTGTAGCTTTAGAAAAATGAACATTGTACTAATGTTTATCATTTCTAAGCCAAGTTTCTCCCTTGACCAGCAAATGTCCTTTTACAGCATTTCTCCTATTACAGGATCTGGTCTAGGGTAAAGTGTTATGTTTGTCAAGTATCTTTAGTTTCTCTGAATCAGGAACATTTCCGCAGCCCTGCTTTGTCTCATGACATTCATGTTCTTTACTAGAACATCCCCCATTTTAAGTTTTTCTGATACAGAAGCTGTCATGTACATGCCCTACACTCAGGAATAGTTGTAAGAGGAACTCACTGATGGATGGCCAGTGACGTCCTTGTTCCTGTTGGTGGAAAGCACAGACCACCAGGGTACTTCTGGCTGAACCTCACATCTGTATCTCAAAGCAAAATAAAATAAAACACCCTGTCCTTCAGAAGACAACTTTCCTAGCACAAAACCTAGTCCTATGCCCTTGCTCATTACCAGCCCCCAAAGTGAGTCATGGGATAGGATGGTAGCAGAACATGGTTTTAAATCATACCACCGTGGGACCCAGAACATCATCTACTCAGCAGGTGTGTATTAACCTGGAGTGCAAACTAAGACTCAGGCATGAGCATGTTTGGCTCATGACCAGGCATGTTCATAACCGAGGATGCCAAGGGGGTCACAAGGTAACATTAAGGCATATTCACCAGTGTTCCCATGTTGAGCACAGGATTGGTAGGTAATATGGATAGGGCATGGGGGAAGGAATAACTATATCTTAAGCAGCTGTATGGACAGAGTTCACAAGAATGAGGCCTATAATGAAAAATGTTCTGAAAGGTGGTGAAAGATTAACTGACTTGTGACCCACTGAACTATGAGACACAACTGGGCTATTTTACTTTGAGCTGGTGGTGGTTCTAGGTGAGCACATAGAAGCAAAAGACAGGGAAATTAAAGTTCATCCTTTTAACTCCACACACCTTCACAAGTTTCAAAAAAGAAAGAATTGGTTTACATGTATATTTATGATCAGAGCATAAAAGAGCACAGGTAAAAAATGGCTGCTTGTAACCGAGGCCCTCCGTAACCCAGAGGTGAGAATGGGGAACACGTGATGTAGTCCTACATTAGCACTCATTACACATTCTTTCTACACTTTCTTGGCCTATCACTGCCAGTTTCCTAGACTAGCCAAGTCCTGGAACTGGTTCTGGCCTGCAGGTCACATTGGTAAACGCTTAACTTTACTCTCCCAGTGCTGATACAGGAGGCCACCAATCAAAAGCTCTTCCCAATCAGAAAACAGAGTGGCATCCATACTCTTATATCACAGGTCATCACTGCAGTAGAACCAGTGCTGGGAATTGTTTGCTCCAATGTACATTCTACACCGAAAAGTCAATAGCCCAGGACTCATGGTAGTGTGTCACTTCGCAGTTAACATCTGCTACAAATTGTCCAGATACTGAGGAACTTTTGTATTGAAATGTATTAAATTGGCAGCATGTGCATATCATTTAGAACTTGATGAATTTCTGCAAAATGAACACATTGTAAACAGCATCCCAATTGAGACACAACATACCTGTGACCCAGAGGTACTGCCCCTAACATTGTTCAGTGTGGCTTAGTGTTGCTTGTCTTTGTACTTCCTTTGGAGGCAATTGGTCAGGATGCACTCTTTTATAAAGGGCTTTTTTGTTATGATTTTATGAAATTAGGATTTCAGGTTATTTTGTCATGAAAAAAGTAACTGAGAAATTCATCGTTTTCATCCACTGAACTGAATACAAGAAACCAAGTTCTTCCCGGTGATTTTTGACACATTTTTAGCAATTCCAAGGAACCCAACTCACTGTGAAATTGGATCTCAGGGGTATCTATAATCTCACTCAGGTACAAATCAGTGGATAGAACATAACTTTCAGAAGAAGCTTGGATAAAATACCCAGAAATGCTAATTTTGGCCAATATTACAGAGTTTTTCCTGATAATTGACTAACTGTGCCCTAGTAAGTTCCCCAACTAACAAATGTCAGAGTCACAAGAAAGATGTGCTAAGAGACTGATTGCTGACTCATAGAGTTTGAGATCTAGTAGATGGGGGATGGGGTCTCAAGAATATGCATTTCTGTCACATTCCCAGGGGATGCCCATGTTGACTCTGGAACCACACTTTGGGAGACACTGATGGTGCCTATGTGCTTTTTACTCAGTGGTACTTGGGACCTAAGGATTCTACAAAGATGTTTTGGGAGCACCTTAGGAAGCATGGGTTGGGGGGGGGGAAGGGATTTAGTTGGGGGAAAACCAGACATCTCAATGCCATTTCAACCACAGCAGCTACTTTTGTTTTATATTTCAGGAATTCCTAGGAATATTTGAAGAAAGGGCTCTGCTTTTAAAATATTTAAAAGTTGCAAATCACTGTGCTAAGAAATTTAGACCCCAGGGCAATGACATACTTGAAATACATGAGTAGTATCTCTGGAACATAATGCAACCTCTGATTGAGAACAGGCGTCTTTCACGCCTGTCATCTAGATGCTTCTGAGGGGGGCTTCTGCGTCCCTTAAAGAAGAGGGTTTTTATGTGGATGAAATTGATAAGAAAAAAGTGTAATTATAAAGGTGCAAAATCGTGTGTGTAAAATAGGGATTCTGGCAACACTAAGATGATATGAATAGCGCCTCCCCCAGTACAAACACATATTAACATGAGATGAACTATAACGAAAATTTAAATTTATGTAAAATGTCTAGAGAAACAAAAAGAATCCAGCAGCACTGCAACTATTCAAGATGTTTTTTGGCTCCTGATATCAGATCGTAAAGGCCAGGAGCTTAGAGCTATGGGTCAAATAGTCATGATGGTACCAGCAACACAGACTGAAGGCCACCAAAGGAAGAAAAGTTACAACTTATGTATCAGGGTGAAGCCTTTAACAGATTACCTCATCCATTAAAGGTAGTGGGGGGAGTAGAAAGTAAATAATGATAGGTCTTATGTTCTGTTTGGAGCAACCAGGAAAAAGAAAGTCTCCACTTCTGTCATGTGTGAATGTGGACAATTAAATTTATCCTACTGTGTCTTATGGGACCCACATGTTGAAATATTAAAATGAAATTATAAAAATATCTATTATAGTGTAAGAAAAAGCCAATAGTACATTTTGGCAAGCCAGGCCAAGTGGAACCTTCACATGAAAATAGATATCTGCTGAAGATATACTTAGAAACAAGCAATGATAAATAAACATAGAGTCCCTTCATGATATATGCATGCATGGAAATGTTGTCGTGAACCCCACTAGTTAGTACACTTAATATGTATAGTAGTTATAGTAAAAGAATCAGCTGCCTTCTAGAATAATCTCCTCCATATTTTGTTCGATTCCAAGTGGTCAGCCCTGAGCACATGTACATATGAGCAAAGCTAAATTGTGGGTGATATATCCATGTGTGCATATGTACATATAACAATAATTTTAAAAAGGTCATGAACTTGGGAAGGGGAGGGAGGCTTCGGAGAGGGAGGAAGGGCTGGGAGTGATGTAGATGCAGTGCTCATG